ACCAATTTATAGCTTTCATATGAAAGCTATACCCCATATAGACCAAGAATATGGGGAAAGGGAGGGGGGAGGGGAGGGGAGGAGGGAGGATGGGTGAAAGAAGGGTAATAGGTGGGACCACACCTATGGTGCGTTTTACAAGAGTACATGTTACATCTACTAAGTGTAGAATATAAATGTCTTAACACAGTATCTAAGAAAATGTGGTGAAGGCAATGTTAACCAGTTTGATGAAAGTATTTCAAATTGTATTGATGAAAGTATTTCAAACCAGCACCTTGTACCCCATAATTGCATTAATGTACACAGCTATAATTTAATAAAAATAAATAAATAATAAATAAAAAAAGAAATAGGCTTGGGGAGGTGGATGTTGGACTGGGGCAGCTGGCAGTGTAGTGGATAGAGGAGCTGAATGACTGTCCTCGGGGAGATCTTGAGATGACTCACTTGCCACTGGAAGGGAGAGAGGGGCTGGGGGATGAATGGATTTGCAAACCAGAGGGAGGGGCTGAGTCGCGGAGCTTGATTAGTCCGCGTCAATTTCAACAACATCTGCAGTGCGTGGGGTTGAGCGATCCCACCGGGCGTTGCGGGAGGAGGCAGGGCTGGTAGGCTGTCTGACGTTGGTTTCCCGCCTGCCGGGCTGGCCTTGAGCAGTTCATGAATGACTCACCTGATTGTCAGGCTGATTCACAGCTCCGCCGGGGACTTGAGGGGAGGCGCCCCCCTCCATTCGTTTCACACGCGGGCACACGCGCTGGCGGGGGCTCCAGCTAGTCTATGTACTTGTTGGGGTTGGGACAGGATGGATGGATTTTCTGCCGCAAGAGGGAGAGGGATGCACACCACCTGGTGTGTGGAGACCAAGTCTGAAGTTTCTGTCTTTAGCGTTCAGGTGTCTGTTTACATTTAGATTGATTAAATTAAATGATTAAAAGCTGATGGGCACAATGGTACATGCCTGTAATCCTAGCACTCCGGGAGGTCCAAGCGGGAGGATTGAGCTCAAGAGTTTGGGACTAGGCCTGTGGCTCAACTAGCTAACGCACCAGCCACATACACCTAGGGTGGCGGTTCGAATCCAGCCCTGGCCCGCCGAACAACCAGATGGCTGCAACCAAAAAAATAGCCAGGCGTTGTGGTGGGCACCTGTGGTCCCAGCCACCTGGGAGGCTGAGGCAGGAGACTCACTTGAGCCCAGGAGTTGGAGGTTGCTGTGAGCTGTGATGCAACAGCACTCTACCAGGGGGACAGCTTGAGGTTCTGTCTCAAAAAAAAAAAAGTTTGAGACTAGCTTGAGCAAGAGTGCGACATCCCCCCATTCCCCAACCCCTGTCTCTAAAAAACAGAAAAATTAGTTGCCATTGTGGTGGGTGTCTTTAGTCCTAGCTACTCCGGAGGTTGAGGCAAGAGGATGGCTTGCGTTTGAGGTTCCTGTGAGCTAGGCTGATGCTACAGCACTCTTGCCTGGGCAACAAAGTGAGACTCCATCTCACAAAAACAAAAGAAAACCCCGCTTCGGTTTCTTAGTTGCACTATCTATATTTCTTTTTTCTTTCTTTCTTTCTTTCTTTCTTTTTTTTTTTTTGAGACAGGGTCTCACTATGTTGCCCGTGATAGAGTGCCGTGGCATCACAGCTCCCAGCAACCTCCACCTCCTGGGCTGAAGCAATTCTCTTGCCTCAGCCTCCCAAGTAGCTGAGACTACAGGCGCCCCCCACAACGCCCGGCTATTTTTTTTTGCAGTTGTCGTTGTTTAGCTGGCCCCAGGCTGGGTTCGAACCCACCACCCTTGGTGTATGTGGCTGGCACCATAACTACTGTATTATGCCAAGCCTCCTTCCCTTTCCTTCTCTTCCTTTTCCCTTCCCTTTCTTTTCTTTTCTTTCTCACGCTTGTAATCCTAGCACTCTGGGAGGCCAAGGCAGGTAGATTGCTTGAGCTCAAGAGTTCTAGATCACCCTGAGCCAGAGCAAGAGCCCACCTCTCCTAAAAATAGAAAAACGCTTGGCCTTGTGGACTAGCCACATTTCAAGTGCTCAATAGCCACAGGTGGCTAGTGGCTTCTCTGTTGGATGCTATAAATAGGAAGCATTTCCATCAATATAGAAAGTTCTTGGCTCGGCACCTATAGTTCAACAGCTAGGGCGCCAGCCACATACACTGGAGCTGGTGGGTTTGAATACAGCCCAGGCCTGCCTAACAATGACAACTACAACCACGAAATAGCTGGGCGTTGTGGCGGGCGCCTGTAGTCCCAGCTACTTGGGAGGCTGTGGCAAGAGAATCACTTTAGCCCAAGAGTTGGAGGTTGCTGTTAGCTGTGACGCCATGACACTCTACCAAGGGCAACATAATAAAACTCTGTCTCAAAAAAAAAAAAGTTCTATTGGAAAGTGCCGGTTTAGACATGCTGGCTATACACTAACTCAGAATCCACAGCTCTCCACCCACATATGCAGCACAAAACACTCAACATGCAACACCCACCAACCACCACAAGACTGTGTGTGTACATACTTCTTTTCAAATATGCCATTGTTGTTGGGCGGCACCTGTGCTCAGTGTGTAGGGCGCCGGCCTCATATACCGAGGGTGGCAGGTTTGAACCTGGCCCTCATCAAACTGCAACAAAAAATAGCTGGGTGTTGTGGCGGGCGCCTGTAGTCCCAGCTACTCGGAGGCTGAGGCAGAAGAATCGCCTAAGCCCTGGAGTTGGAGGTTGCTGTGAGCTGTGACGCTAAGGCACTTTACCGAAGGCGATAAAGTGAGACTCTGTCTCTAAAAAAATAAAAACAACAACAAATATGCCACTGTCTATACCAAGGCAAATGTAAATATAAACACATGCATCGTCACACTGATTTGAATACAACTGTTCATTCCATACAAATACAAATTAGGGTGAAATGTATTTGCAAATATGCTGCAATAGATACAAACCCAAGCCATGTGGTTCCCATAACAATTCCCAGCACATTTTGCAAACTTAAGTAGGGGTAAAAGGAAACCCCCATTCGTTGAGGCCCTGTCAATGGGCTAGGCATGGAGTTTGCCATTTCAATTCCTTAACTCATTTTATCCCATAATGCTTTAAGAAAGAGGCATTATTCTTCTTTCAGAGATGAGGCAGGCAGCTAAGATTCAGAGGGGTAATGTAATTTATTCAAGATCACATAGCCACTTAGCAGCAGAGTCAAATATAAACCAGGATTTGTCTAAGTCCCTAGCCAATGCAGCATGCTGTCTCCAAACTTAAAACAATCACACACTCTCTCTTTAGGTGTGCCCTCCTTTATCCCAAAGGTAAAACTCCTCATCTAGCAACTTAAAATATGTGGAAGTGAATACGGAGTTGCACAGACTCATTCAAACTGCCTCCTGACAAATGGCATTAAGTCATTCAACAATGGTTCCTTAGTGTCTTCAATGTATCAGGTGCTGGTTCACAAAGGTGAAGAGCCACAGTCTTGTCCTAAAGAGGTTCTAAGTTCAGCAGAGAAGAGTAAGAGGAATTTGAAAACAATATGGGGCATATAATAGATCTGAGCTAAAATGCAGATAGGCCCTAAATACAAGGAACTAAGGAGAAGGAAACTTGAGGCAGTTAAAGAAGGCGTCTTGGCCATAGTGGCTTATACCTTAGCACTCTTGGAGGACATGGCAGGAGAAGCGCTTGAGCTCATGAGTTCAAGACCAGCCTGAGTAGAAGTGAGACCCGTCTCTTCTAAAAATACAAAAACTAGCCAGGCCATATGGTAGATGCCCCTAGTTTCAGCCATTCGGGAGGCTGAGACAGGAGGATTGCTCAAGCCCAAGAGTTTGAGGTTGCTGTAAACTGTAACACTACTGCACTCTACCAAGGGTGACAGAGTGAAACTCTAACAACAACAACAACAACAATGTATAAAAAGAGCCAGACCAACAACACTTTTGCTTGATAAATGTGTGTTGCATGAATGGATGGATGGATGGATGGATGAACAGACAGACAAACCGACCGGGTGGGTCCTGGGATGAATGAAGTCATGCTCCAGGGCTCAGTTCCTAGTGTGCTCGACACAAGAAAGGGAGTGGGAGGCCGGACGTAGCGTCGAAAGCCAAGATTCCTCAAAGTCACTTTCATCTGAATACATGTTGAACCAGCCCTCTGGACCGGAGGGAGCCGCTGGGGGGCGACCAAGAGCCCATTCGTTTCCCCTTTAAGACCGGGCGGAAGGCTGGAGGAAGAAATGTCTTTGTGTCGGCGGGATAGAAACAGGCCTGCCCCTTTAAGAGGGCGGAGTCCCCGGAGTGGCGGCGGCTTCGAATACGGTCTGGGGCTTTTGCCCTAGCCTCCTGACGACCCTTCCTGGATCCCCGCCCGGGTCGCAGAAAAGCCTCCCTCTGACCTTGCTCCTGGAGTACCGTTGCCTGGACTCCAACCCTAACACCGAGGCCAAGTCCGAGGCCCTGGCGACTCCCCGAGTGTGGGTCCGCGGGGCCAACCTACCGGCGGGAACCTACCCGCCGTCACCATGGTAATGCCGTGCTCACCCCGGGGACCTGTGGGTCCGCCTGGTACCGGAACCTGCGGAAGGGCTCTCGGGGTTCCAGCCTTTCACTCGTGCGCGCGGGAGGGCGAGGGTCTGGGTGGGAGCTCGGTGGAGTCGGGAGAGGTGGGCTTTAGTCAAGGTTGGTTATGGCAGCGGCGGAGACCGGGGGAAAGCATTCTCAAACCCCGGTTTCCCTCTTGTCGCCTTCCTTCTCTCCTTGGAGGATTCTTGTTCTTCCTTCTCAAGGAATTAAAATGTAGTACCTCTTACGTCCATCCCCTTCCCCGCCCCCACCCTACCCAATCTGACCCTTAGACTCCCTGGCAAGATGTCTCTTTTAACTGTAGCTCTTGCTGCTCTGGCATCTGGGTTAGGCACAACACTTGGCTTTAGGTTTGACCCTCATCTGGAGCTGGCCACAGCAGCCCTGCTGGCTAGAGAAAGAAGAAACCATGGTCTTTGGCATCCTACCCTCTTGGGACCCTAGTTTTGGGGCATGAGATTAGGTAGAAGGAAACCTGGCTTGATTTTCAGAAATAAGGCCACTGTGCTAGCTAGGCATGCTTGGATTTATGGTAGTTTCTCTTACTTTTTTTTTTTTTTTTGAGACAGAGCCTCAAGCTGTCCCCCTGGGTAGAGTGCCGTGGCATCACAGCTCACAGCAACCTCCAACTCCTGGGCTCAAGCAAGTCTCCTGTCTCCGCCTCCCAAGTAGCTGGGACCACAGGCGCCCGCCACAACGCCCGGCTATTTTTTGGTTGCAGCCGTCATTGTTGTTTGGCGGGTCCGGGCTGGGGATTCGAACCCGCCACCTTAGGTGTACATGGCTGGCGCCCCAGCCGGTTGAGCTATAGGCGCCGAGCCAGTTTCTCTTACATTTGACAAAGATTGTTCAGGTGAAACTTTTGGGATGCTACAAAACTGTAGGCCCTGTATGCACAGTTCTGAAGAACTGGCCTTGCTTTCCTTTGCAGCCTTCCCTTTTCCTCCTTCCCTATCTTCCAGGATTAATGCAAATGGATCTTGAGTGCACAGGGTTTGGCTCCACGCCTGTGGCTCAGCAGCTACTAGGGGGCAAGACACATACACCCAAGCTGGTGGGTTCAAACCCAGCTTGGGCATGCCAAACAACAATAACAACTACAACCAAAAATAGCTGGACAGCTTAGTGCCAGTAGCACAGTGGTTATGGCGCCAGCCATATATACTGAGGGTGGCAGGTTCGAACCCGGCCTAGGCCAGCTAAACAACAATGACAACTGTAACAAAAAATAGTCATTGTGGCGGGTACCTGTGGTCCCTGCTACTTGGGAGGCTGAAGCAAGAGAATCACTTGGGCCCAAGAGTTTGTTGCTGTGAGCTGTGACGCCATAGCCTTCTACCAAGGGCAATATAATGAGACTCTGTCTCAAAAAAAAAAGACAGGGTTTGTCTGCATTGCCCAGCCTGGGCTTAAGTGATTCTCCCACCTCAAGAGTCCAGGGATTGGACTGTTAAAGTCCTGTTAATAACTGGGATTAACAGGCATGTACCACCATGCCTGGCTAAGAAAGTATTTTAGATCACTTAAGTCTTTAACTAAATTCCATTTCTTCTTATCCCTTATTCCTCCCTCAGCAATAGCAAAATACAAACAAAAACCAGTATACCTGATAGTCTTGTTAGTGTGGGGAAGAAGCGTAGTGAGGACAGAATGTACTTTCAAACTGTGTTTCTCCTCCAACCTCAATTGCTTTGTTTTCCTCTCAGGCATGCAGTTTGCAGAAGCTGTTTACTGTGGAAGAGGAATTTGAAGATGAGGTAAGAAAATGTTAGTGATCAGAGGTGGCAGAGAAGGTCCTAAAATATAAACACTCAGCCTGCACCAGCTCCTTTTAGTTGGTTGTTGTATTTGTGTTCTATGAGAGACTGAGAAATGATGAGAAATATAAATAACCTACTTAACGGTGTTAGAAACAAAACAAAAAACCAGAGAGATGAGTTGCCTAATTATAATACCTTTAAATTATAAAGGCCCTTTCCTGGAAACTGGGTCATGTAGATGATTTAATTCATCTTCATGATGACATGCTTGAGGTGGGGAAAAAAATGTTTGTGGAGAGGTAGAATAGTATAAGAAGCAGTTACTAGACAGCACCAGGCCTGGGTCACCAACTGGCTATGTGGACCAAGGCAAGTTACTGTATTTCTGGCCTTTTCTTTTCTTTTCTACAATATAAAGGATGTTCTTCTGCCTCAAATGCTTTTCCCTTCCTCTGCCTTCTCAGAAGATGAGGGGTTAGATTAGCTCTAAAGCTAGCAAATTAGAATTACCCTTTCTAGTCCAGGCGTGGTAGCTCACACCTAATCCTACCACTCTGGGAGGCCAAAGCAGATGGATCACCTGGGTTCACAGGTTCGAGATCA